GGTGAGTCACGGCCCCCCACCCCCGCAGTGCGCACCCCTCCCGCCGCCCAGCCTGGCCCCCGCGCTCGCAGGCCCCCACCCCGGCTGAGGATGGACTGCGCCCGCCTGGGCAAGTACGCGCCCCAGAGAACCCCGAGAGGGGCGCTTTGGCCCGGGCCCCGCGTTCTTTCCGAAGAAAGGCGGAGTCAGGGACGAAGGGAGGCTCGGAGGCTGAACCCTAGGCCTGCACAGAGCTGCTGGTCTTCCGACCACTCCGGACTGGACTCTGGCGGCTGGAGGGGAGGAGAGTTGGGGACGTGGAAGAGATGGGGCGCCAAAGGCGCCAGGAAGGAGCTGGGTCCGCCCAGGAGCCCACCCTGGCCGCGAAGGCCGCCATCCGAGGTGGGCAAGCCAGGGGCCTGGGGCGTATGGGGCCTCCCAGCCTGCTGCGCTGCCCCTGTGATGTACGAGAAGCGACTTTCGGGCCTCTTGGCAGCCTTGGGACTTGGGAGTTTTCCATTAACTGGAAGAGTCAGATCCTAGCAGTGGCAACAGGGAACATGTACCCCACAAAGTCAGAGTCGAGCCGGAAGGGCCTTCTGCCGCTGCGGTGAGACTGCCCTTGCTCTAAGAAGAGGCTAGCGAGAACATGGGAGAAGGCGAAGAGTAAAGGAGGCCTTAGGGAACATTTTTATAAATGATGCAGTATACCAGATGGGATAGGAAGACAGAAGTGTGAAGAATGTCTGGTGTGTCCTGCAGATCGCCGATGGTTCTTTACTTTTCCACCAGAGACCCGCTGGAGCTTCCTCTGCAGCCTTCAGGTTCCCCCTTCCTCTGCATTCCTGCTGTCTTCACTCATGTCTCCCCCTTATCTCCTTACCCTGCCCTCCTGGCTGCAGAGGACCTGGGGCACTGCGGTCATCAGAGCCTACCACACCCATGCCTCTGCTCCACTCTGGGGCTCGGTATTATCACTCCCAACTTTGCTTCTATTAATGCTTGACATGAACCCCTCTGCTCCTCTGCCTTCCCCAGGGATGATGGCAGAATACAAATAGAAAGGCCACGTTTGTTCCTTTTCTATTCTGTCACATCTGTGAGTCCTCCCTGCTCCCGGCCTGAAACTCATAGTCAAAACCTGTAGACTGTGCTGGTAGGTCCAAGAGTCAACATGAGTAGCATGCTGTTTGAATCTTGGTTTCCCAGTGCATTGGCCATGTGATCTTGATCAAATGACTTAACCTCTCACTGTGATCCACCCGGTTTTCAGCTGGCTTGGATTACAGGCACAAGTGCATGTGCTCCTTGTGCTGGGTGGAAGTTCCTAAGATTTGAACCCAGGACCTTTTACCAAGTGAGTCTGGCTGTCTTACCAGCACCACCACCTGACCCCTCTTCTTAAAATAGGGCATCTGTTTTACAGATAAACAGTTGTCTGTAGTGTTCAATCAAGTTCACCAAATATTGGGTTGTTGGAAAAGTCATAACTTGTTTTTGCATAGAAAATATATCATGACTTTTCCAACAACCTAATGTTTTCTAGTTCTTGTCCTCCTCTGGGATGTGGTAGAAATCCACCTTTTTGAAGTTAGATGTGGCCATGTGATTTGTTTGGCCAATGGGATGAGAGCAGAGGTGATTATGTTGCTTCTACTCGGCAACTTGAAAAGCCAGTAAGCCAAACCACCATATCCTCTATTTCCTTGACAGTCAAGGCAGTACAGAGTTGGAGCCCCATGAAGCTAGTCTAGGCCTCTATGTAGAGATTTCAGCATTCATGGCCAACCTACATGGGAAAAGTAGTACAAGCAGATCTTAAGCTTGTGTTGTTAAACCAGTGAGATTTTAGGTGATATATGTTACTGCAACATAACCTATCTTAGACTACTTAAATAATACTACCCCCAAGTGCAAATAATTGGTACTTGTTGAATGAAGAACACCTACAGTACATTGGTACTGTCTTATACGATAGTTAATCCTTCTCTGTAATGTACTTGTTTTATTTGTTTGTTTGTTTTTGAGGAAACCATATCAGAAAGGCTAAGTAATTTGCCTGAGGTTACACAGTTTGAAACCCTACCTGTTCAGTTCCAAACCTCCTGTTCTTTCCCTTTCACATGTGCCGTGCCGCCTCTCCTTAAATGGGTAAGATGGAAAACACCCAGTACAATGCCTGGCACACAGTCATGCCCAAGCACTGGGAGTTCCTCTCCAGACTGAATTCCTATAGCATTTATAATTTGAACCACACTTGAGCACAATGTTATCACACTTTGTGTGTGAGTGTTTTCACATAGATAGGGCATTTCCTTCAACAAAATCCCAGGCTTCTTGGTTAAGAACCTGAGTTCGGGCCAGCAGGTGACATGGAGGTTAACGCACTGAATCCCACATGGCCAGCAACATGGTTCAAATCCCAGAACTGGCAGTTTAGGAATATATCAAACACATACGTATGCATGCCCAAAATCCCGAGATTGGAGGCACCCCTCAGGGCTGTGGGCAGGGGGGTGATGTCTCACTTTCCCTCTTTTTCTAGCAAGCACATGCATCCTATAGCAAACACACACACACCTTTAGTTCTAGAGTCAGACATTTCCAACCCCTAATCCACCACTTGCTATAACCATCTTGAAGAATTAAACTCCCTCTCAACACAGTTCTCTCATCCACAAAATGGCCATGGTATCTCTGTATGTGGTATTGGTGGTGGCAGCAGTAATAGTTCCCACAGAACTGGTGTGAGGATTAAGGGATTATGATATATGGATTTAATAAACCATGGCTATTAATATTACACTTATTTTTCATCTTGCCTGACTCCTACTAGAATTCGGGGCAATTGTAAGTTTAATCATGCTGCTTGATTAGACTCTGATGTCTTGTGCTGGATATTGGACAGATGTTACAACATCTGTACTTGGCAGCATGACATCCACATTATCCTGCATCTCATATTTATATAATCTTATGACTTGTCCTTTAATATGCCATTTTCAAAAAAAGAAGGTATGTTCACTTTAGAAATCTTTGTTCCAGAAACATCGTAATACCAGTTATCATTTATCTATTATCTGCTGCCTACCGGGACAGACAGATACAGATAAAGATATAATGTATATTTACTTGTATGTATTTTATATGTATGTACATGTATATGAAGATAGATATATATATATATACATATGGCATCATCATCATAAAACTACAAAGTCAGGGACTAGGCTAGTGCAGTGGTAAGATGTAAGGCACTGTGAGCCTGACCCACGTGGGAAGGTTACTGGTTCATGTCCAGAGACCTCCCTGAGTACACAGGGCAGGATGCGTCCATGATTTGGACTGACTAGAGCTGGGGTGGATTATGGCTTGAGAGGAAACCTGTTGGGGGTGCTGTAGCATTGTCTCCCCACCTCCATGTAATACACAAGGTTTTAAAAACCTGCAAGGAGGATATTATAATTCCCACTTGGCTATTGAGAAAAATGAGTCTCACAGAGACTACATGGGCCATCATCAAACGGTAACTACATGAGGCAGGCTTTGACTCTAAAGGCTTTGCCTTTTTCCAAGCTCTTGTCAATTAATGCTTGTTCTTTGGTGGAGGCTGTTCTTCCAGTTTTCTAGTTGAGGTTTTGGAAAGCTACCTAACATTGTGACATTTCTAACTTAAATATGTTGTCTGCAAGACATCTTACATTAAACAGCAACTGAGGAAGGTCCTTACTGTGGCAGGAGGAACTAACTGTCCTCCAAAAACTCATGCTCAGCCGAGGTTATGTTTCCCAGCTTCCACCACAGCCATGTGCAGCCTCTCCACAGCCCTCTCCAGCAAAAAATAGGCGAAAGCAATGTTTGTTGCTTCCTGCCCAGGATGTTGAAAAAGTGGGTATGGCTTCCCCACTTTACTTAGCTGGAAGCAGCAAACTCCAAGGGCCCGGGGGATGGTGAAGCCACAAAACAGAAGTCTGGTCCCTGCATCACCTTGAGGAATAAAACCATTCTCTGTTCAGGACATTGGTCTGGCCCCTGATTGAGAAATAAACTCTCATCGTGTTAAGCCCTGGAAGTTACAGGGTATATATGTAACAATGGCTAATACTTCCCTGACTAATACACATAGTTTATATTAAGTCTGCATTCATGCATAGAAAGCAAAATGGAGTGGACGGTTCATGG